ATTATTCTCTGCGACATGGAAGATTAAAAATAAGGGATTATAATGTCATGTGTGGAGTATAAACAGTTGGATGTTACATTCTTTTGGAGTATCCAATGAGTCTAGGTAGTGGTAAGCAAGGTATTAGAGTTCAGGAGACAAATTTAAGCTAAAAATAAGGATTTGGGGATCTCTGACATGCAATTCTAAATATAATTATCCAATGAGATTAAGTAGAAAATAAAAAGAATATCTTGAGAACACCAACATTAAATAATATTCAAAAATTAGAAACATTTATACCAAGGACCACTTTGGTGTGTTGCAGTTTTCTTGAAGATTGAAACATTCTATCCTGCAGGGAAGATCCTTAAACCAGAAAATTAGCTTCAGGAAGTCCCTGAAACTAGCCAGATTGACTAGGCCCCTCCCTCCCAAGAGAAAATATTAAAGGTAAGCAGAGCTACAAAGAAGATTCTGAGACCAGACCATCTGCCCAGAAGAGGTTTAGAACAAACAAGTCACCTAGAAATGACACTTTCAAGCCTGTTGTAGTGCAGGGTGCAGTATGCTCCAGGTTCCCAGTTTTTTTTTTTTCTGAATTGTCATCCATACCAGGGTGGTCTTTGGTGATGCATGCAACTATCTTTGAGTCATTTCTTCTCATGTAAGTAAATCCTCACCCTTATTACTGTAAGTCACCCCCACAAAACTCATTGGTTCACCAAATTAGACTTTGGTGGTATTTGTACTTTGGTCTGTCATTGGATCCCTACGTGAGAAAAGTAGGCATATGTGTGTTTCATCTCCCCAGGAAAAGTCTTGTCACACAACACCCTATGTACTAGACAGGACATGATATCTGATAAATACAGCCAAAATCAAAATAGACAAATAACCCTCAAGGACTTACATTTCCATGTAGAGAAGGGAACACAATAAACAAACAAGAAAAGTATTTTTATGCTAGATGGTATGACCTCTGGGAAGGAAATTGAGGAAGGGTTGATATCAGTCTAAAAGAGGGGAATATGAAGGACACTCAGAAGAGAAATTGCCACTAAAAAGGTAAAATTTTGGTAAAGACCAAAATCTAAAATCATTGATAGGTTAAGCCATGAAATGACTTTCTTCAACAAAGTAAAAAAAATATGCAAGATACATACATGCCTGATATTTTCGAGGAAGAAGGAGACCAATGTGACCAGAGATTGGTAAAAAGAAGAAAGTAATGGGGTGGGGGGGGTATATGTGAAAGACAATGGACGAAGAAAATCCAACAGGTCCGGGGAATTAAGGACTGTGTTGGTTTTGGGAAATCTTTGATTTTGAACTACCAAAAGGCACTATAAAATCATAAAGTATTTTACATTATTTTCTTGGTAGTCTGCTGTTTTACTTGAGCATGCGACTTCGCAAATGACTTCCTAGATCCTTATGACTCCATGACAGGAACTCTGACCTTTTAGAAGACTAGATAAATTTGCTAAGTAGTTCTCTGGAGGTCAAAGGGTACCTTTGAGACACATCCTGAAGAAGTGTGTGTAATTTGGGAAGTACAAGGTGGAAATCTGCGGTCCCCTTTTTCCAATGCCGAGGGCAGTGTCATGGGTTGAAGTCAGCCTTTCTCTTATCACAGCATTCAGCTGGGAAGGGAAGCTTTTAGAAGATAACTTTAAGGCTATCAGGAGAAATTTACTCCTTGGCTTTGAAAATACTACCACATTATCATAATCTCCTCAATTGGAATATGACTCACTGGGCCAAGGATGAGAGGGAGGACTGAAGTAAACAAGCTGTCTGTGGATCTTCCACACAGTTATTCTTCAAGCAATTTTATCATTGGCGTGGCTTTTAGTTGTTTCTAGCATGTATATAATGTGGGCTTCTGAACTGGAATATATTTGTGACACTGGATCCCAGAAGGTGTGAAGAATAAGGGCAGGCAAGCAAAAAGGATTTGTCACCACTAACTTGATAGTGTCCTGTTCTATTAGATCTGGTTTTGCCTGAGTTTCCAGCCCTTATTTTACGATGACAGAAATGATGGCATCTTTGTGTGCTCCATAAATGGCAGAAACTGGCTGATGGCATGGGATGAAAGTATTCTTGGTTGTATTAGGAATTTGATTTTCATGGTCTATGCAGTAATAGATCTGGAAACCTGATTTTCCCCCCTGTTCTAGACTATGTTGTCAGTTTTATTGTATCTTGTTATTCTTGCCTGTAGCATGAACAACTGGATGTACAATAAGTAAAGTTGTTTCCTAATATCTAAGGCAATTATCTGTCATATAACATTCAACTTCTCTATCAAGCTATGAGCTTTGCATCTCCTTTGGCTTATCTTATGCAGGAATGACAACTTCATTGCACACTGTAATCCCTTCGTACAGACATTGCAAACAGATCACGATGTTTACCCCCTATTGATACTGACAGGCCTCAGGGTCACCACGCCATAGGCAGCCATGCCAGGTAATTGGAGATAACACTCATATTGAAAGTGATTTGCAGCCTTATCCTTAAAGACATGGCCATGCCCCAGGCGACAATTCCCAGTACAGTTGAGAACACTTACATCTCATCCCATTATTTAATTTATCCCATTTCTAGAGCATTCTTAGATACCATCATTTGTGCCACCATTAAGTGGTTCCTAGTGGCCTGGGCATAAGTGATAGGGATCAATTAGCTTTTCAGCCCAGAGGCTAAAATGTACAAATGTCTCTGCCTTCCTTTGTACAGCCAGCCTGAGACCTGGGAGTGTGGCTCTCTTCATAAGAGATAAACTCAGACATTCAACAAGTAAAAGGCTTAGAGGCTTCTTGATCTTTGTTCTCCTAGCCACTTATATTCTTATTACCAAATTCGATGGGAGCATAGATCAAGAAATCTGTGTTTATCTGAGTTCTAATGAAAAGCCCAAACAGTATTATTAGGTAACCGTGATGTATTTTAATCTGATGACAGCTTGTGACCCACAAATTGCTGTTTAAAATTAAATTGAATCCAAAATGAAGCTGGCAAGACAACTACAATATCAGACTTGCAATCTGTTTTGACAAAACCCCATCCTAAAGCACTGTATTAGACAATGAATGCACATGCAGCTTACTGCAACTGAAATCTGAAACATATAACAGTGCACTTGTTGCCTTAGGAAGCTAAAATTGTTTGCTCTTATTTTTAGTCTTTCTGAAAATTAAGAAAAAAAAAACCAGAGTGTTTTGCTTTGACGTTGGCAACACCCCCTAGGCAAAGCTGCAGGTATCACCAGGGAATACAGATTTCTAGGTTTCCCCTCTGATGAAAAAAAGTCCTCTATTTTCCTTATCATTAGGGTTCATCTATAACAAATTAGTAATATTTTTTCACACATTTAACATCGAGTCTATTTATAACTTAATGATTATAACTACCTAAGATGCATACATTACAATCCTGAATATGTATTTATATATAATTATCAAAAATAACTACACTGATGTTTTTATCAGATAATTAATGATTTAACTTGATAGCAATGAAAACTTTTTTTGGCAATGGTTAGTTCTGTCAGGGGTGGCATTAAATACTGTGGGATGGAAAACAAGAACAGCCTGTATGCTTTTCACCCTATATTTTAACATTAAGTAATTATATATGGCAATGAAGTAATTCATTATAGTTGTTTCCTAATAATTTAATAACCGAGTTATAGCTTTTTCTCCCACTGATTTTCAAGATACTGGAGAACCACCTAAAACTCCACAATGTAATGCTGCAATTATAATAATTAACATGCATGCTTAATTATAGTCTTATTTCTATACATCGTTTGCTTCTAAATTCACAGAGCATTTAAGCAATCGCTAGGAAAAGAAAGTACTATATTTTATTCCCGTTATTGCAAATATGGAAAAACAGCACCCACTCTTTTAAAGAACTACCACAAGGATTACTGTCTCACAGCCATGTTTTGTGCTTATGGACACAGTAATATAATGCACCCCCACTCAATATACTTAGAGAAATAAATGTGTATGAACGGATGAGAACCAAACTCAAAGAAAGGCTATAGGGATATTGCATGGGCAATTGCTGTCATAGCAGGGTCCCTTAAACAGCTCTGGCTTGTTTTATTTTGGTGGTGGTGGTGGTGGTGTGTGTGTGTGTGTGTGTGTGTGTGTGTGTGTGTGTGTGTGTGTGTGTGTGTGAAAATTATACAGAGTGCAGTCCAGCATGCCTGTTCACTGTATTAGAGGTGCCAGGTGACACTGAATATAAAATCCCGAGGCACTTTATCTGGCTTGCGTCCCTAGACCTGATATCGTTTCTCGTATCGAATCTATTTTTATTTGGTTGCATTCTCTCCCTGTCTCTCTTCCAGTCTATTCTATGAAGACAGTGATAAGCCCTAGCTTGGTTTCTGAGTGTGGCTGGGTTTATCTTTACTGACTGCGGATACTGACCATGGTGCTGAAAGGGAGAAAAGGCTCCCATTTGGAACCTTTCTTGACTCTTATTGGTTCAGAAAATTCGAGTGACAAGGGCAGGAGCCCAAACAGCCTGGAGCAGCGCTGTTAATAAACCATGTATTTGGCTGTTAGGGGTAGAGATGTGGTTCATCAGGTTACAGTCAGAGCATCCCTGTGAGCGCTCGCTCACTAAACCGTGGAACCTTACAGATGTAGCTGCTGCAGTAGAGAGGGCTCTATCCAGCAGGATGTCTGGTCTCTCTCCTGCAAACTGTGCAACCAAGTGCAAAGCCTAGAAGCACAAGCAGGGGAGCTGGATGGAGGGGCGAAACAAATCTACATTCAAATTTAAAAATGTTCACTCGTAGTCGTGCAAGGTAAAAATGAAGTGCTGATTTTAGCATAAGTTTTCAGGTCCAGCCAGCCCTTCCAACAGGTGCACTCTCTCACCCCTCAGATGCTATCCCAAACCTTCTTCTGCTAGGCAAGCTTTCCCGGGAGTCCTTAAGCATGCTTCTCATCTTACCCTCAGCTCCAGCTCTGAGCCCCGCAAGCCCTTACCTGCAGCGTGAAGATTAAGAAGCAGGCACAGCGCCGGGAAACCGACTGCTCTCCTCATAGTGTGTGCATTGAGGGGCGGAGGAGAAACTCCGCCGCGACCCCACTCCAAGCAAAGTGTTGTTTGAGAGGACCACTGCCAAGAGTCCTCTGATCCCAGGCATCCGATGAAAGGGTCCTCGGCTGGGGTTCGCAGAACGGTGTGTGGCGCCGCCGACAGAGCCCAGCTCTGGCTTCACCTCCCTAAGGGGTGGGCAGGATGCTGCGGGTGATGGGGACTCGAGGCGGGCGGGGGCAAGGCACTCAAAGAAGATGAGAGCTTGGCCTTCTGGTAGCCCGCAGCAGGCGGTGACAGTGGGGTGGACTCCAGAGCCAGTCTCGGAGCCAGGCAGCACCTCTGCTGCCAGTGCAGCTAGCAGCAGCCCGACGCGCAGCGGCACTGAGCATGCCCAGCGCCAGCCCTGGCTCAGGAGTTTCAAATCGAAATTCCACCTCTCCGGGTCTTAGCTGAGGCTGGAGGGGGTGCAAGCTCCGCGGGGAGGAGGGTTGGGCTCGAGGCGAGCTTTAGCGACCTGGGTCCCTCCAAAATCTGGGCGTGGGGAGGAGTGAACTGGGGCGGAGAGAGGCGGGGCCGTGTTTACAGAAACCAAAGAGGGAGATGGAAGGAGCCACCCATCTGGGTCCTTTCCTTGCACTAGGTTTACCCGAGGACTTAGCTCACTGTTGGGACTCTTTGCAGGCTGACCAGCTTCGCTGTTTGCTTCTACCTTACAGGAGCAAAGGCTAGCAGCGAGTTCTGGCCTGCTCGAGCAAGCCTGCAGTGTGCAGGTTAGCTGGGTATTCTGAGAGCGCCCCCTTCTTGTCCATTAGCTTTCCTCATGCTTCTTTCCCTCAGCCCTTGTACTTCCAGGAGATTCAAGCTTCAAGTCTGTGATTGTAGTGGCTGAAAGCAGGGAGGTCATACTTACCCGGTTGGGAAGTGTGTCCATGAAAATTGAAGGAAAGAGATGGTCTTTGTTGATTATGGACATAATGTAATGTATACATTATGTCCATATATATATGTGTGTGTGTATACAAATATATACATATTTATTATATATTTCATATAAATGTAACCTATACACTATGATGGAACCTAAGTTAATTATTTCCATAAAATTATCATATATGATATATTACATATGTGATATATAATATACATAACGTGATGGAACTTAAGTCAATTACTATACACACATACGTAATACACATACGTATGTATGTGTATGGGTACTTTGAATGTATGCATGTCTGTCCACCACACCTGTGCCTCATACCCTTGGCGGTAAGAAGAGGTTTGCCAGAAGCCTAGAACTGGAATTCTCGATGGTTGTGAGCTGGGAATAGGACCTGGGTTCTCTGGACTTTGCTAGTCCAGTCTTTTCATCTTTTCATCGATTAGCCATATCTGATCCAGCTGTGTCTTTAGCGAGGCCACGGCACAATGTGTGTGCTTTGAATTTAGAGATTCTTTTTTTTTTTATAAATTTATTTATTTACTATGTTTACAATGTTCTGTCTGTATGTATGCCTGCAGGCCAGAAGAGGGCACCAGATCTCATTACAGATGGTTGTGAGCCACCATGTGGTTGCTGGGAATTGAACTCAGGACCTTTGGAAGAGCAGACGATGCTCTTAACCGCTGAGCCATCTCTCCAGCCCCATGGGTGGAGATTCTTATTAATAAAGTGGTTACTACTCTAAGCCAGCATATCACCTCAGCCAGGCCTCCCTTCCCTATGTGATTTCAGGACTTCATCGTTCTGCTTCTGTCCATGGGTCTAGCTACTGCCTCTTAGTTAATGGACCTTACTTTGGACCACTGCCACAGCAGAGCTTACAGAGGTCTAATTTGCTCCTTTTTTTTTTTTATCAGCAAGCTTTGGGCTAACCTGAGATTATAATGTTTCAGTTTTTTTTTTTTGCCTCTTCCCTGTTTATTGAGCTCTGTCATTTATTTTTTCAGATAGTTCCTTTATCTGCGGCACACATTTCCTCGACTGAGAACCTCTGAATTTTGCATTAACGTACATTGCATAAAATCGTGTTAGCCAAAAAAGAGGTATTAAAAGGTGCTCGTTGAACTGAACTGTGTGTCTCATTCAGCGCTCTCTTCCTCCATCCCCTGAAGATGGGGGCAGCTAATGGGAAAGAAGATAGCCAACAGAGCCTAAATTAGGCGGGGCCTCACGGGATCTGGGTGCTCCGGCGATACCATCTATTTCTTTTAGAATTTATTTTATCCCCAGCTCTGAGAGATAAGGCCAGGAATTGCACTCCAACAGGTAGAGCGAGATGATGACATGTATTTTTTATACCTTGCCAGGCTTTCTCTCCTAAAAATAGAGACATGGGAAGTACTGCACTTGCAAATGATCCACTTGCTCCTGGGAGTATGGTGGGCTTCATTTCTGTAGACTAGAGTTGGACTCAAGCTGTCTTTCCCCTTTACCCCAGAGTCACTTTTGTTACACATCCCTTTACTGTAGAACTTGCTGATATACCCAGAGACTTGCTTATATTCTCTCACCCACACTCCTTCTTTGGCCCTAGGAGGTAACCTTTACAGTGACAGGGACTTTTTTTGATGGATTTACTCACTTTGTGTATCCCAGCTGCCCGGAATAACACCTCACACAGCATCCATGTTCAAAAACAATGAAAGTCATCCAGATGAGAAGCTCCAAAACTGGGGGTAGCCTGGCTGGAATTCTTTCTGAATTATCTACCTCCCAGATACACTATGTACCTGAGCTTGGAGGTATGAGGAATAGAATTCTTCTTAGCTAGAACTTCTGGTATGAGAGCTGTTGCATGGATGGTTTCTGATGGGAAATAATTTCGCTATACTTGCAGAATGTGAGCTGCCCTAATATTTTTCCCCCTCTAAAATAATTTTCAAACTTACCTAAGTCTCTAGAAAGATGGCATTGCTACGGTAATGAGACAGAGCTGCCGGAATGCCAAGAATACTTTGCTTTCCCATAGACAATTCCAACCTTTATTTTGGAGTAATTTAAATTTTCAATCAATGTAATTGGTTATGACTTTGCCAGCAAGCAGCCTGCTGGCTATGTACTTTGCCCAGGGCTACAGGTAGCTGAATGAAAAACCACATGAAAATCTCTTTAACGGGAAAAAAATGTCCAATTTGACTAGAGTAGCTCAGCATGGTAAAAATAACCTTGACTGAGCTGTTATTCTGGCGCCTGGCTATTCATATTACTTTACTCAAAAAAGAAAAAAAAAGTACATGAAGATGGCCCATCAGTTGAGAGTGTCCCAGAATCCACTTTGGGTGGCCCACAACCACTGGTAATTTTCGCTCCAGGAAGTCTAATGTCCTCTTCTGTCAGGCATCTATATGAATAAAGTAAGTCTAATTTCTAATTTAAAATAATTCTTCCCTAAAATACATCCTGATTGCGGTTTCCCCTTTCTCATCTCCTCCCTATCTCCCCACCCATTCAACTCCATATCTTCTCTCTGTCTCTTTTTAGAATCTAACAGGAAAATAAAAAAAAGAAAGAAACGAAAAAGAATAGAAAAGAGAAAGTACAAAAGTCACACACATACATTCACACACATACACACAAAATAACACACACACCCAAACTCACACACACACACACACACACACAAACTCACACACACACACAAACTCACACACACACACACACAAAATAACACAAAGTCAGGAAACAAAATAGACAAGCAAAAGGTCAGTAAGATAACAAAAAAAGCACAAACAAAACAATATGAATAAAAGTTATAGAGATGCCAGTCATCTTCTGTTGGGTATGGGCCATGCTTAAGTGTGCACCCAATGAGATGCCACTGAGAAAAAAAAAACCTAATTTTTGTTTTGCGACCAGTTATTAATTAGAGAAGCTTCTTGATTAGGGATGAGAGCTCTTGTCCTCTTTCCCCTCTCAGTGGCGGGGCCTGTTTGGTTTAAATCTCCGCAGGCCCTGTTCATGCTGCCACAATCTATCTGAGTTCATATGTGTGGCAGTACTGTGGTGTCTAGAAGACACTGTTTCCTTGGTGGCATCCATCACCTGTGGGTCTTATAATCTTTCTGCCTCCTCTTCTACACACAAGCCAAGATGGGAGGGATTTAATGGAGACATCCCATTTAGGACTGAGTGCTCCAAAGTCTCTCACTGTTTGCACATTGACAACTGTGGGTCTCTGCACCTGATCCAATCTACTGTAAGAGGAAAGTTCTGTGATGATGACCGAGCGAGATTGCAATCTGTGGGTACAGTAGAATATTGCCAGGAAGCATTTTATTGCTGTATTGTGAATCAGTAGTGAAGAAGGACACTTAAAAGAATTGAGAAATAGACATTTATTTAGGGGTAGACTCACAAATCAGAATCCTCTGCTTGAATGGAGATCAGAAACAGAATCCTGCAGCTGGAAAAGAGGCCTGGCACATGTTTTACATCGGCATAAATAGCATAGAGGCCACACCTACAGCCTATGAAGTAAAAATATCTTTCTTATTACAAAAGCATCAACAATTTTATATGACTAGATGAACTGATTTATTAATAATATGCTTCCAATGAACTGATCACATGAATATGAAGTAAAACAGCCAAAAATGAATTGAAGAGTTAATAGGGGTGGGGCTTGGAGGAAATGACCTTAGTCTACTTACAACAGATGTGATTTACCCTGATATTTTTTCCTTTGAAATGACTAATTTCAAATCTTACATGGGCCTCTGGGAAATAAGAAAGTCTACGTGTAAAGTCATTTAGAAATATTCTGTGTGTCCACGGGGCTGCATTTCTTTGTCTCTGTCCTGGTACCACTGAGTTGCTTTCCTACTTTAAAGAAGTCTGGAAAAACTACTTCATATTTTTAAAAGGTAGCTCTAATTCAGAACACTGTGGAAGTTACTATGACTGAATCATACAACCAGTACCACCCTATAGATCTGTGTCCTTAATGGAATCATTTGTATTGTAAAGAATTAGTAGAAAATGAACACTCCTTTGTGAGGTAAATCTCAGAGAGATTTGCAAAGGAGAAACACTTCAGAGACATCTTTCAAAATAAATTTGACCTGAGCTGGAGAAACAGATCAGGGGTTAAGAGCACTAGCAGCTCTCCCCAAGAGGTCCTGAGTTCAATTCCCAACACCTACATGGTGGCTCACAACCATTGAACAGTGGGATTTGATGCTGTCTTCTGGCATAAAGATATACATGCAGAGACAGAGTATTCATATGCATAAAATAAACTTTAAAAAATTTGACATGATGAGCTTCCACATTAACCAGCCTGTATGTGGTTGAAACCATTCGCTGAAGCCACCTTCTTAGGAAGCTTGAAATGGATAAGTCCAATTTATTGACTAGGTTTTCTATTGTGTAGTGTTCTATTATTTGAATATAATCATGGCCAACATTCATTAAAGGTTTTCTACATGGCAAGCTCTGTGCTAACTAATGCATCTCC